TAGCGGGTGAGAGTGGCTGGTGTTAATGTCCCAGGACAGTTTCCATTAGCCAAAATATTCGTCACTAAACCATTTCACCCTGCTTTCTCGACATATGTGTGTGAAGGATATTAGGAGTCTCTATAGAATCTATATATAATAACCTAAAACTAATCCTAATAATAATGAGGGGCGGTCGGGTAGCCTGGTGGTTAAAGCTTTCGCTCGTGACGCCGAAGACCCGGGTTCGATTCCCGACATGGGCACAATGTGTGAAGCCTATTTCTGGTGTCCCCCGCCGTGATAATGCTGGAATATTGCTAAAAGCGGCGTAAAACCATACTCACTCACTCACTCACCAATAATAATGAACATTAAGAATCTAAAAAATAGTATATGTATATTAGTTCCAAATTATAATCATTTTATTATCATTTGTCATACGCTAGTGTATTTTATTGTTTGTCAATGATTGTAACTGTGTTACATTGTTTCTGTTGAGATTCGCTAGAGCATTGTGTTGGGGCCGTGATTAGTCGTCAGGAATATGGTACTATTTAGTCATTCGTCAGGAAGTTACCCTATTTAGATACTAGACTGGTATCCTGTGGTGTTCTGGAAGCGACTTGGACTATATACAAGGAGACAATAGCATGCCTCTCTCATGTCTCACACATTTGGTCTCTCACGCATTTCGTCTCACGCTTCTTTATCCCTTTGGTACATGGGAGGATCGCTCGCTCATCATCCCTGATTCCCGAGCTCTGAACCCTCACCACTGTCGCCGCTTTGTGAATATAAATTAGTATCACTGACTTTTGCTGCCACCACTGTATGTTTGTTTTTGACTGGCCACTGCCATCACATTGCCATTGAATACTGTCCTACCACTCTATAGTCCACTGCCATCATATTGCCATTGAATACTGTCCTACCACTCTATAGTCCACTGCCATCACATTGCCATTGAATACTGTCCTACCACTCTATAGTCCACTGCCATCATATTGCCATTGAATACTGTCCTACCACTCTATAGTCCACTGCCATCATATTGCCATTGAATACTGTCCTACCACTCTATAGTCCACTGCCATCATATTGCCATTGAATACTGTCCTACCACTCTATTGTCCACTGCCATCATATTGCCATTGAATACTGTCCTACCACTCTATAGTCCACTGCCATCATATTGCCATTGAATACTGTCCTACCACTCTATTGTCCACTGCCATCATATTGCCATTGAATACTGTCCTACCACTCTATTGTCCACTGCCATCACATTGCCATTGAATACTGTCCTACCACTCTATTGTCCACTGCCATCATATTGCCATTGAATACTGTCCTACCACTCTATTGTCCACTGCCATCACATTGCCATTGAATACTGTCCTACCACTCTATTGTCCACTGCCATCATATTGCCATTGAATACTGTCCTACCACTCTATAGTCCACTGCCATCATATTGCCATTGAATACTGTCCTACCACTCTATTGTCCACTGCCATCATATTGCCATTGAATACTGTCCTACCACTCTATTGACCACTGCCATCACATTGCCATTGAATACTGTCCTACCACTCTATTGTCCACTGCCATCATATTGCCATTGAATACTGTCCTACCACTCTATTGTCCACTGCCATCACATTGCCATTGAATACTGTCCTACCACTCTATTGTCCACTGCCATCATATTGCCATTGAATACTGTCCTACCACTCTATTGTCCACTGCCATCATATTGCCATTGAATACTGTCCTACCACTCTATTGTCCACTGCCATCACATTGCCATTGAATACTGTCCTACCACTCTATTGTCCACTGCCATCATATTGCCATTGAATACTGTCCTACCACTCTATTGTCCACTGCCATCACATTGCCATTGAATACTGTCCTACCACTCTATTGTCCACTGCCATCACATTGCCATTGAATACTGTCCTACCACTCTATTGTCCACTGCCATCACATTGCCATTGAATACTGTCCTACCACTCTATTGTCCACTGCCATCACATTGCCATTGAATATTGTCCTACCACTCTATTGTCCACTGCCATCACATTGCCATTGAATACTGTCCTACCACTCTATTGTCCACTGCCATCACATTGCCATTGAATACTGTCCTACCACTCTATTGTCCACTGCCATCACATTGCCATTGAATACTGTCCTACCACTCTATTGTCCACTGCCATCACATTGCCATTGAATACTGTCCTACCACTCTATTGTCCACTGCCATCATATTGCCATTGAATACTGTCCTACCACTCTATTGTCCACTGCCATCACATTGCCATTGAATACTGTCCTACCACTCTATTATCCACTGCCATCACATTGCCATTGAATACTGTCCTACCACTCTATTGTCCACTGCCATTGTATTGCCATTGAATACTGTCCTACCACTCTATTGTCCACTGCCATCATATTGCCATTGAATACTGTCCTACCACTCTATTGTCCACTGCCATCATATTGCCATTGAATACTGTCCTACCACTCTATTGTCCACTGCCATCACATTGCCATTGAATACTGTCCTACCACTCTATTGTCCACTGCCATTGTATTGCCATTGAATACTGTCCTACCACTCTATTGTCCACTGCCATCATATTGCCATTGAATACTGTCCTACCACTCTATTGTCCACTGCCATCATATTGCCATTGAATACTGTCCTACCACTCTATTGTCCACTGCCATTGTATTGCCATTGAATACTGTCCTACCACTCTATTGTCCACTGCCATCATATTGCCATTGAATACTGTCCTACCACTCTATTGTCCACTGCCATCATATTGCCATTGAATACTGTCCTACCACTCTATTGTCCACTGCCATCATATTGCCATTGAATACTGTCCTACCACTCTATTGTCCACTGCCATCATATTGCCATTGAATACTGTCCTACCACTCTATTGTCCACTGCCATTGTATTGCCATTGAATACTGTCCTACCACTCTATTGTCCACTGCCATCATATTGCCATTGAATACTGTCCTACCACTCTATTGTCCACTGCCATCATATTGCCATTGAATACTGTCCTACCACTCTATTGTCCACTGCCATTGTATTGCCATTGAATACTGTCCTACCACTCTATTGTCCACTGCCATCATATTGCCATTGAATACTGTCCTACCACTCTATTGTCCACTGCCATCACATTGCCATTGAATACTGTCCTACCACTCTATTGTCCACTGCCATCATATTGCCATTGAATACTGTCCTACCACTCTATTGTCCACTGCCATCATATTGCCATTGAATACTGTCCTACCACTCTATTGTCCACTGCCATTGTATTGCCATTGAATACTGTCCTACCACTCTATTGTCCACTGCCATCATATTGCCATTGAATACTGTCCTACCACTCTATTGTCCACTGCCATTGTAATTGCTGTGCAGTAATTTGTTTTGATTTGCAAACTTAGTGAATTTTGTAATACATTTGTTGCTTGTACACCACTTGTTGGTTGTTTGTTGGTTCCTAACCAAGTTCTTCTAAGTACAGATTTCTGGATTGATATTGTGTTTCGACACGTAACAGAAAATGGGGGCTCATCCGGGATCGAAATTCAGTATACTGAAACGCACTGAACACGCACAACAGGTAAAAAGTGAAATTGATGCTAAACCAAAATTTATATGGTGTTGCCTGGGTACTACAGTACAATCACACTCAGATAACTTAGTTCCACATTAATAATGACAAGTGTTATTGGAAAGTACACAATTTTAATGTGGAGGAAATGGAACACACAAGGGGTCCAAAGACAAAGTCAGTACCGGGTATGATCATCCCTGGTTGCAACGCATACCACACAACGCCATCTCATGGACAGTATCAGTATGGATGAGAGCTTGTGGTCCTACGCCACTCACGTTGCAGGACAGGCGCGAGCTCTCTGACGTTCGCGATTTGAGGTCGACGTGCAAGCGCTGTTCCAGGTAGTCAAACAAGTGCTCCACTGGCGATAGATCGGGAGATAATGAGGTCATGGCATAACAGGTACATGTACGTTAATCAGTGCCAGGAATTCCATAGAAGCACTCAATGTATGTGCTCTGGCGTTGTTCTGTTTGAAAGTATGCAGCTCTTGGTGTTGACAGAAACAGGGGACAACGTGACGTCTTAAAATGGCGTCCTAATAGTAAACTAATAGGAAACTGCATTGACACGTCCTATGCATACATGGAGCTGTGTCGTGTGCCGAAAACTGATGCCACCCCAAACCATCACAATTCCTCCGCCCGTAAACCAGCGACGCGAAGTCGCCGGCGTGCAGTAGCGGCGCTGATTACTCCTCGTCGACCTACGATGGTGGCTGCTGTTCTGGACGCCGGAAGTGTTCGATCACGTAGATGAGCCCTCACAATCTGTCGGTCTTCCCTGGCTATTGTCAGACGTTGTTGGTGCATCCTGTCTGCTGAAATCGCTGGTTCAGTCTTGTGTTGGCACTGTACTTTGTCGCCTATTAAACAAGACGGAACAGCTAGCAATCGTCGTGTACTGACATCACAGGAGGCCGTCCAGACTATGGACCATTCTTTTCCTTTCCTGTGATAATCTGCTTATGACCGAATGACGACCAGCAGCTTTGTAGGACATTCCTGTGTTAATCCTGCCTATCATTCACTACCTTTGGATAAGGGGCACGGGTGACCCAGTCGTCTAAGGCGCCGCGATTCGCTGTGCAGAGTTGCGTCCCTTGGGCACGCCAGAAACCTATGATAGTGGGTTCGTATCCCGGTTCACCCCGATTATTATTATGGAGCTCATAAATAAATAGGATAAAAATCTGTGGACTTAGGATGCAGTCATGGCGGGTACCAACAGAACAGTTAAAAAAAGATGAAAGTCGACATTTGGTTCTAAAAGTGACTGTTTAATGAGAACACAGTGAAGCAATAATGTTATGAAACGTGCCAGAGATCCCAACTACATCTGATGATTGAAGGAGAACATCATGTCGGAGTGTGTCAGATGCCTTCGAAAAGAGTATTAAGTGGCAGTAAAATCCTTCCACATTAAGCTGACACGCCGCGATTAAAAGCGGCGTTAAATTCAACTCACTCACACTCTACCTTTGGATAAACTGGAATTGCCACTATAGTTTTAAAGGATAACTGATAGTGCGGTTTTAAGGAGTCGCGAATGGTTTGCTGCAAGTTCCCCGTGCACGTGATTTACGTGTCAGAACTACAAGCGAGCATTCACAAATTGGCTATGGGTACAAAATGTAACTGTTTATGTCATGACCAAAATGATTTTACCAATAACAATCGCGTGACAGTGATTAACTTTTTCAGGGGCGATTGACGGTTTGTTTCCGGGTGTATGTAATTTAAACTCATTTTGTCTGATTTAACTTTTTAAACTGAATGCTTGAACCAAATCCAGTTCTGGACCATTTCTATCAAGGTTCACAAAATATAAAATAGTTTCAGTTTTATAGACAAACAGATCTAGAACAAAGTAAAACAAATTATATTTCTTTGATAAAACAAAACTGAAGACATGCTGACATAGGATGTCATTGAAAAGAAAGTCAGTGCCACATCGACATGAAAAGTTCCCTTGATCTTTAACCAGTGGCGCTATATGTCATCTCCAGTCTAGAGAGTGTCCCTATCAGTTCGACTTTTTGTCGTCAGTGATGGTAGGTTTATTTCACTGTCAGATTTGACTATAACTGTCAATAAAGCGTCATGCGAGTGGAGTGGAGCTTTTTCTGATTTACGTAACGACTTTAGATTTGACGGTTCGTTATATACCCTTTCAAACAATATATTTATATTTAACAAATTACATTATCGAAGGGACAAATTGAAATAACACTGCAGCCGAGAGATTAGCAGCTCAGTGAGCACATGTATGACGTACCTCACACTTACTTGTTACACCTTCAACCACGTGCTTATATGAGTGACATACAAAACACTTACGTGTATAACGTACCTCACGCGTACCTATGAAACGTACCACACGTGTCGTTGTTTGACGCAAAACACCTGTTCAATTAGCGTACACGCGTTCTCCAAGGACAACTACACAATGGTACGCGTACGGTACGTCACACGTTTAACTATGCTGCGTCTGAAACACCACACAGGTACGCAATACGTATCACACGTTGGTGAGGTAAACGGAATTTCTCCAACCGCCGCCGCAGATCTGTGTCGGGTTCCCACCACAAGGCATTGTGCACTCACTCTCCGGCTTCTTGGGGTAGCCGTCGGTAAGGACGTCTCCACAGTAGCAATAGGTAGCATACTGAAATAGCGTAAATAAAAAGAACGAGTGAGTGTGAGTCACATACAGGTTATACGTATCACGGCGTGTCAGCGCATTCTATGGTACCCGATGGCACCATGTTGTCTTCACCTCAATACTGTTGTATTCACATACCTAGATAACCAAGGTTGTGTCCACCTCAACAGTGTTCGAATCACATACCTAGATAACCAATGCTGTCTGCACCTCAACAATGTTGTACTCACATACCTTGATAACCAAAGTTGTCTTCACCCCAACAGTGTTGTATTCACATACCTTGTTAAACAATGTTGTCTTCACCTCAAATGGGTTGTATTCACATACCTTGTTAAACAATGCTGTCTTCACCTCAAATGGGTTGTATTCACATACCTTGTTAAACAATGTTGTCTTCACCTCAAACGGGTTGTATTCACATACCATGATAACCAATGTTGTCTTCACCTCAACAGTGTTGTACTCACATACCTAGATAACCAATGTTGTCTTCACCTCAACAATGTTGTACTCACATACCTGGATAATCAAAGTTGTCTTCACCCCAACAGTGTTGTATTCACATACCTTGTTAAACAATGTTGTCTTCACCTCAAATGGGTTGTATTCACATACCTTGTTAAACAATGTTGTCTTCACTTCAAATGGGTTGTATTCACATACCTTGTTAAACAATGTTGTCTTCACCTCAAATGGGTTGTATTCACATACCTTGTTAAGCAATGTTGTCTTCACCTCAAATGGGTTGTATTCACATACCTGGTTAAACAATGTTGTCTCCACCTCAAATGGGTTGTATTCACATACCATGATAACCAAGGTTGTCTTCACCTCAACAGTGTTGTATTCACATACCTAGATAACCAAGGTTGTCTTCACCTCAACAGAGTAGTATTCGCATACCTAGATAACCAATGTTGTCTTCACCTCGACAGAGTAGTATTCGCATACCTAGATAACCAATGTTGTCTTCACCTCAAAAGGGTTGTATTCACAAACCTAGATAACCAATGTTCTCTTCACCTTAACAGTGTTGTATTCACATACCTAGATAACCAATGTTGTCTTCACCTCAACAGAGTAGTATTCACATACCTAGATAACCAAGGTTTTCTTCACCTCAAAAGTATTGCATTCACATACCTAGATAACACATGTTGTCTTCACCTCAACACTGTTGTACTCACATACCATGATAACCAATGTTGTCTTCACCTCAAGAATGTTTAACTCACATTCCTCGATAACCAAGGTTGTCTTCACCTCAACAGTGTTGTATTCACATACCTAGATAACCAATGTTGTCTTCACCTCGACAGAGTAGTATTCACATACCTAGATAACCAATGTTGTCTTCACCTTAAAAGGGTTGTATTCACAAACCTAGATAACCAATGTTCTCTTCACCTTAACAGTGTTGTACTCACATACCTAGATAACCAAGGTTTTCTTCACCGAAACAGTGTTGTACTCACATACCTAGATAAACAAGGTTATCTTCACCGAAACAGTGATGTACTCACATTACTACATAACCAGACCGCCTCCGTGGTCTAGTGGTAGAGCGTCCGCCCGGAGAGCGGAAGGTCCAGGGTTCGATCCCAGGCCGCGTCATACAAAAAGACGTTAAAAGATTGTACTTGTTGTTACCCTGTCTGGCGCTCGGCATTAAGGGGCTAAAACAAGGACTGGTCGGCTCAGAGTCAGTATACTGTGTCTGAGTGGGGTATTCATGTTAAACTGCGGCATGGTATCTCAGTGAGCTAGCACTATAAATCGGCATCAGTCCGGACTAGTACAAGCAGCCACACACACACATACACGTGCATGCACGTCGCTATATAAGTGCAATAATCTTGGACGCGACGTTAAACCCAATTTCACCTCACTACTACATAACCAAGGTTGTCTTCACCGAAACAGTGTTGTACTTACATACCTAGATAACCAAAGTTATCTTCACCGAAACAGTGATGTACTCACATACCTAGATAACCAAGGTTGTCTTCCCCGAAACAGTTATTGATAAAAGTTATATTAAGTTTATATAAAACATATGGAACGTAAAATAATAAAAATGAAACAAAAGTAGACTAATAAAGGTAGCTAATTTTAAATTTGGATATAGAGGTATATAAGATTAAGTTGAGAATATTTGATTATAATATAAGCTGTAGTTTTGATAAATTACATTTAAAATAATGTAAGGAATTTTCAACGACTTGGGACAAACATGCACAAGATAACACAATGTGAGTGAGAACTATTAGTTACAAAGGAATTAATACAGAAAAGACTTTTCACATTTATCACAAGAGTATTCTGGACATTTTGTATTTATCATTGGATTGCTTCCACAATATCGTCGATTAGTTAATGAATCAAGAATAGGGTAAGATATTTTTCATTTGTATAATAAGTAAGTGAGTCACAAAATCAATGGGAAGATGGTCAATTGGTCACGTAGGCTTCGGTATTTTTCCGATTACGACACACATGAGTTCATGGTCAGATCTAACTTTTAACGAATCAAACTGAGGTATTGTGACATGTGACAAAGAAAGATCAGACGCGACCCCTTTAAAAAGATGAGGTATGCACGAGTAAAATGGTGTGGTTCGTGCAGTGACTGAGGAAAATCGATATCGCTCTGTTTCTCTCGCCTGTCTTCTGTAGAAGTTGTCTCTGATGGACTGAAGCGTTATTAAAAATATGTGAGTATAACCTATGTTTTGTGTTTACTCCTGTTGTAACCAAGGGCCGGTACATGAATGTTGATTGAGACATTTCGAGGTGAGAGTCGATAGACCAATCACTCCTTGATTAAGACCCGGATTCTGACCAAACGAGCTGCTAAGTCGTGGCTTACTTTGCTTATGACGCCACGGAACGACAACCACATAGGTAACTATAGTAGGGCTCCGTTAACCCTTAAACGCAGTTACGACAATACCGACAGTGCTCATCGCGACAGTGTGCCACATACCTGTGTGGCTGCATAAACGAAGTGTTCTTCTCGACAGTGTCCCACATACCTGTGTGGCTGCATAAGCGAAGTGTTCTTCTACAGAGTGTCCCACAAACCTGTGTGGCTGCATAAACGTAGTCTGCACATCGACAGTGTCCCACATACCTGTGTGGCAGCATAAACGAAGTGTTCTTCTCGACAGTGTCCCACATACCTGTGTAGTTACATAAACGTAGCCTGCACATCGACAGTGTCCCACAAACCTGTGTGGCAGCATAAACGAAGTGTTCTTCTCGACAGTGTCCCACATACCTGTGTGGTAACATAAAGGTAGTCTGCACATCGACAGTGTCCCACATACCTGTGTGGCAGCATAAACGAAGTGTTTCTTCTCGACAGTGTCCCACATACCTGTGTGGTAACATAAAGGTAGTCTGCACATCGACAGTGTCCCACATACCTGTGTGGCAGCATAAACGAAGTGTTCTTCTACACAGTGTCCCACATACCTGTGTGGCTGTGTAAACGAAGTGTTCATCTCGACAGTGTCCCACATACCTGTGTGGCAGCATAAACGAAGTGTCCATCTCGACAGTGTCCTACATACCTGTGTGGTTACATAAACGTAGTCTGCATATCGACAGTGCCTCACATACCTGTGTGGTTACATAAACGCAGTCTGCATATCGACAGTGCCTCACATACCTGTGTGCCAACATAAACGAAGTGTTCTTCTACACAGTGTCCCACATACCTGTGTTGCAACATAAACGAAGTGTTCTTCTACACAGTGTCCCACATACCTGTGTGGCAACATTAACGAAGTGTTTTTCTACACAGTGTCCCACATACCTGTGTGGCTGCATAAACGTAGTTTGCATCTCGGCAGTGCTGTATACATAACTCCGTTGTCATCCCAGGAACGATATACTCTGCATGGGGGAGCATACGAGAGGCATCGTCAGAGTAACATCCTTGATAATCTGAAACAAACAACTTTCATCACCACTCTCACCTTTACGTAACCTTCACACCGAATCATACTGAAGGTTTTTAATTCCGAAACACCTAACTTGTCGTACCAAATAACTGATATAAGAGTAGACATGTGAAATACGCAGCAATGTTGTGTGACGACAGTTCCTAGTCTATACATTGGTCTTGTAGGTCACGTGGTCACGTATAAAAAGGAATCTAGTCTTTGAGAGTTTAGTTTCGGATCAACATAATTTAATTGTCATCTCGTAAACCAACGTTACAAACTTGCTTTTTAACCTTTAAGATGAAAATAGTTTAAATATTAAAGGAAATTGTCTTGATGTATTTCGTACAAAGAAGCCTAGATACACTGCTCAATTTCAGATTCAGAAATTTTGCCAAACTATTATTGAGGTGTATGTGCGTGCGTGCGTGCGTGCGTGCGTGCGTGCGTGCGTGCGTGTGTGCGTGCGGCACGCTATAGAATTCATCACTAGTACATTCCTTCCACGCTTACACATGTGAGTGTATGTGGGGGTTGGGGGGTGGGGGATTGGTTGAAAAACGTAGTTAAGGTATTTTGTTGTTTACTATGCTACCTGAAGAGTAGACAAGCTGTTGCCACTTTTGTACGATGCGGTTGGTCGACACTGACATAGCATTCATTGGTCCGCGGTACCGAATGACAACAAATGCCGAATAACGTTTGGTTTGTGAAGTAAAGTTGTTCTCGACATAATTTACACTAACAGAGCAGTTTATGAAAGTTTATTGCCATTAACAGAGCAGTTTAGGAAAGTTTGTATGGCTAAAAACAAACGTCATGATCAGATGTATTTACTTTTACTCATGTATGTTGACATTCGTAACTAAGGACGCTACGAATGCTCTTTTATGACCGGACATGAATGTGGATGTTTAGATAAAAGCACGAATCCTATAGCTACCGGGCGAACCAACAGTGAACCCGTTTATGCATTTTAGAGATGTGATTACTTCAGGACTAACAACTGTCTTGGTTAAAATGATTTGTTTTTAGCAGCCTCGAAATATTGAAAACGGGCCAGCGTGAAGATGGTAACTATATATTTTTCATAACATCTACAGCTTACTAATTCACTGCATGCCATTTGTCCTGCACACAATTGTATTTAAAACATTTCTCCCAGGACTGCATGTTAATGATCAGTTAGAAAGTCGGCGTTCTCATCAAACGATTTGGAAAAAAAGGTCATAATTATAAATTGAATGATAATGCGACGTGCCAAGTCAAATGCAGCGCTTTAGCTTTTCAGATGTCTGTAATGTTTGGACCCTGTATTAAACCCATTCGCCGTAAACACGTACTTGTAGATGCCCGCATACATTCTTGTGATAAACAACAAAAATAATATAACTACAATGACCGTTTTCACGTTCGAAATTAAGCACATTTTAAGTGGCAAATAAGGAGATCTACACCCTGAAACAATTATACAGAGTTTGAACGATGATGAACATGCAAGTTTTCACAGTAATAACGTGATTGTTGTAGTATCCATTGGCAGTTTGTCAATACAGACTGCGATATATCGGCGTGTATCTGGATTTATCGCGATTCAAGATATTACTGGACCCGTAAATATCCGGGGTAGAACAGGTCTTCAGCAACCGATTCTTGCCGTAAAAGGGGACTATGCTTTTCGTAAGAGGCGACGAACGGGATCGGGTGGTCAGGCTCGCTGACTTGATTGATGCATGTCATCGATCCCAATTGCGTGGATCGATGCTCATGATTGCAATCACTGGATTGTTTGGTCCAGACTCGATTATTTACAGACCACCGTCATATAGCTGGAATACTGCTGAGTGTGGCTTTAAACAACAAACAAGATATTACTGTGATCTGTTAACTGTCGGACGTATTTCAAGTGAAGTTTAAGATTACAAGGAAATGAAGTCAACGATACTGCTGTACAACATTACAATACTCAAAACATCAGATTATATTACAGAGTCGTAAAGTGACAATCATATATATCATATTCATATCGCATTCGATGTATTAACTGTACAGTTACGACTCAAACGCAAAAAAATGAACGCTTACTCATCACCAGGCTGTCAGACAAATGTTCAAACTCAAACTGGTTGTCAAGGCATAGCTTAAACGCCAGGACGATGACTAAATATGAATCTCTGAAATGAAAATGATACAGGAAACATCTTTTAAATATGATAGAAACAAGGCCTTTGTATGACTTAACTGAAGACATATAGTCTTGCTCAACTGTTTAAGGATTGCATACAGGTTTCATTTCATCGTTTTGTTTGAGAGTCTGCATGACAGACGTGTCAGGAAGGGTTACTGGGCAGTGCTATATGTACATGTCAAAACAAAATTATTAAAAATAAAGAGCTCACTTGAATGTTGAATGTTACTTATAATCATGTACAAGTCATATTTCCTTACTGCAATGATTATAATTTAATATTTTGATGTGTTTGTTTTTAGTACCAACATTCAAATAAATGACATTTGTATCAGCGATATTGTCTACGCTCTGCCAGTGGGTTAGCGTTAGCCTTAATAAATGTCTGCAAGATACTGTGTATCTGAAGGTGTTTTTTCTATTTGTTGCCTATATACGGAAAAAGCGACGGTTTCGTGTTTACAGTGTTATAAGTAAATCCTGCAAATATAGAATGTTTGGGGAAACAGTCTGCGTTTAGTACGAGTAAACACGAAATAAGGCTTGAGGTAAAAACCATTTGTAAATTCAGATCCTTTCATCCCTGTGTCCAACCGTAAATGATCAATCATTCATAATAAGCCTTAGCAGTTGAGGCGTTACACACTCGTATTTCCAAGTGGATCTTGTGTTGATGTGAACCATGTGTCGATCATTTCTATCGGACATCCATAATTGAATACTCGAGTTCATATTTCACATCGTGTTGGACACACCTTATATTTCCAAACTGCAGTGCGTACACCTGGTCTTTTCAACACGAAACATAATCGAATTCTTGACGTCATGCCATTTCCATCGGCAGGAGAGGGGGAATACCATATACGATGGCGTCCAAATATTGTTCATTTGACAATGAGAAACCAAATATAATTCATACGAAGCTATGATATATGACCAGCCCGTTAGATGTGGATTTTAATAGAAAGTTCAAAGAGTGACTATGGTATTATCAGTATTTTTCTAAATGTAAATTGTGAACTCGTCAACGCAATGACTTGATAACAGGTTTGAATAATATACGATGTTATTGTAGACTCATTTCTGTTAGGTATCAAATTAGTTTTGCAACCTTCACTGCAGATCTCTCGTAGACTGAAATTTAATGTAATATTATAAAGTACATTTCACATGATACAATATACTTTGCACACAATTTGTTAATGCGTCAAAGTGACTGAACAAAACATGGCGGAACTATTTTGATAACGCCACAAATTAGATGAATTAAGTTAAAATGAGTTGAATCATGTGTCATGGTGCTAATAGACAAACCTCTATGTATTTGCTAAAGACAAACATGAGTTTGGAGCAAGGAAAATATTGTCGCCCATGGGCCAGCCATGGGCCAAACCTTTTTCGCCTGGGGGCGAAATTTCTAATAATACATGTAGACATACCTGCCCAACGGCGCCATAGTTTACATTTTGAGTTTTCGAAAATATTAATACTTTTTACATGTTTTCTTCCTTTTTATGTACCGTTGAGAACAGCATGTTCAATTTTGTAAATACCTTTGACAGAGACTGGCCACACCATGGAGAGTTCCTGGACAAATGGGTTTCCAGAATTAAAATGGGACCTGTTGTATATTTTCTATTGTTCAAATGCTCTGTTACCATACAAAAAGATTTAATACTTTGTTGTAACTTCCATACGTCCAGTCTTATAAACATATTCTGTCTCTCTATCCCTTCTTTATGTCTATTGTGCTTATTGTAATTGGATGTTAATATTTGGGAGTGGGTGTTCCAAATTGGACAACTTGTAACCGATCCATTTAACTATTTACTATCTAACACAAAAGGTGGAGTCAGCTAATGGGTTTGCTGTAAAAGCAGTTTTTTCTGCATTTAATATTTTCAATCTATTTACTGATAAAAGAACCAACCCTGTCGGTATGATTATATGTATCATAAATCTAGCTTTAGAGGAGTTGTTTTACTTGACTCAAGCTAAGCATGGTTGCCAAACTTTGGTTCCTGGCGATCATGTTGAGCTGCTGAGTAATAGTTTATTCTTTTAAATGTTCTCAAACTAGTTTTAAATAACATTTTTGATAATCTAGTAAATGTTCTGTCCATCGACGACAGCTTTTTATTCATTTTAAATGTATTTATTACAAATGTAAAACTTATTCACGTCACGATATGGCAGTAATATTGCCGATGTGACGTTACGTTTAAACTTACTCAGTCACTTGACTCGGCTAAGTGTGTAGGTTATTTTGATGACAACTCGAAAGCTGACAGTGTTCGTGAATGTAGGTTTCTCAAGTGGCCAATGGCGCTGCAAACCGCTATGCAGAGTTACTTCCCTCAGTTCGGTCGTAGGTTGAACTTCCATTCCCACATTCTCCCCGATCATGATCCTTGGTTTGTTTTTTATATACATATACTCTTGTGTATCACCGAAATGGTAAACATCACGGAAATGCGGCTTTCCGACAACTTTTCTTGGTGTTATTTTTTATTCAAAATTTGGCTTGGCGAAAAGGAAACCGTATTTACACATTAAGTTTGATCAATAGTTGTCAAAACAACTTTTGAGAAAAAGATTCAAAATTGCTGAAATCCTTTGTATATTGCAGTGGCAATAAAACAATATATGTTTTCAGTTTTGCGGGTGTTTCAGGGTATATGAAGCGCGGAAATCATAACATTTAAAACCTCTATCTAATTGTACGTCTCAGATACAAAACAATACCTTATTTCCGCTTTGTGGGTGATTTACTTACATTGTGTACAGAGGAAGGACGTTTCCGAGAACATTGATCCTGATTCACATTGGCAGATTCCGTCCAAACAGTCACTGTTGATCCCGTGACAGTCAGTACCGGAAGTACATGGAGCGCCATAGTGATTGACAGCTGAAATCAAGAACAATTATGTATATGAATATCTATAACCCGGATCTGGTCTTTGGAGCCATGATTGTCAACAACAACAAAAATCCTATACACTACTACTACTACTACTACTACTACTACTACTACTACTACTACTACCACTAGTGGTACTACTACTACTACTACTTTGTAGCTATTATTTCAACAACAGCAAAAACAACAACAAATCATATACACTACTACTACTACTACTACTACTACTTCTACTACTACTACTACTACTACTTCTACTACTACTACTACTACTGCTGCTACTACTACTAGTAGTACTACAACTACTTTGTATCTATTATTTCAACAACAGCAACAACAAAAAATTTGCTACTACATGTACAGCGACTTCGTTTTCTACTACTACTTCTACTACTACTACAACTACTACTACTACTACTACTACTACTACTACTGCTACTACTACTGTCACTACTCACTTCTACCACTACTGCACTTTGTAACCATTATTTCAACAGCTACTACTACTACAACCACTACTACCACTACTACTACTACTACTACTACTACTATAATAATAATAATAACAATAACAACAACAACAACAAGCACCTTCATGGAAGAAATGCTTTGGGTAAGGGCAACACGGACATTGTGTCAATTTTCTCAGCCTCACACGTAATGACCAGATCCCACTGATAGTTCATAAATAGAATTTTGTAATTTCTGATACATACCGTTGCACATCAAATATAGTCTAGTTCCGGGTTCAGCCGAATTCTGTACCCGAGAGGGCAACGTGAAGGCCACTGCGTATCCTCGACATCTTCCCGTTGCATGTTGAAAGCTGACACACTTGGGATCGTTGTGACATAAACGATAACATACACCCTGGTTTGTCACATTCCAGGTCCATAAGCTGTAATTTGTCACCGCTAGATCGTCAAATGCGTCAAGATGTACCACCATGCAGTCCACGCATAACGCCGAACACAATCTAGCCGACTGAACGATGAGCCAGGCCACCGAAGAGGCCAAGGGCAGATTAACCGACCTGGTACTTCTGATGAAACTGCATGCGATGAGGAGAAAAGCATTCATTTTATCTGAAAGTGCAAAACAATATTTACGTTAGATTAGAGTTCAATAAATTAAACTGAATGTGATTTGCAAGTTTACTGTCATATTATTTCACATTCATAGTCAAACATCAATATCATCCGTATGAGTAGGGTGTCTTTGAAACTAGATTTAAATGTGTACACGTGTGTCATGACGAGGTAGCATTATGCATATGTGACGTTTTCTGATAACGAAAGTATTTCAGTTTTACAGATCCTACATACGTAGGCAACGAATTCGAAGTATCTCGTTTTTATAAAAATTCTCGTACATAACAACCAGAAGACTCAATGAATACCCGTACATGACAACCAGAAGACTCAATGAATACCCGAACATAATTACCAGAAGACTCAATGAATACCCGAACATAATTACCAGAAGACTCAATGAATACCCGCACATGACAACCAGAAGACTCAATGAATACCCGAACATAATTACCAGAAGACTCAATGAATACCCGAACATAATTACCAGACGACAAAATGAATACCCGAACATAACTACCAGAAGACAAAATGAATACCCGAACATAATTACCAGAAGACTCAATGAATACCCGAACATAATTACCAGACGACTCAATGAATACCCGAACATAATTACCAGAAGACTCAATGAATACCCGAACATAATTACCAGACGACAAAATGAATACCCGAACATAATTACCAGAAGACTCAATGAATACCCGAACATAACAACCAGAAGACTCAATGAATACCCGAACATAATTACCAGAAGACTCAATGAATACCTGAACATAATTACCAGACGACTCAATAAATATCCGTACATGACAACCAGAAGACTCAAAGAATACCCGAACATAATTACCAGAAGACTGAATGAATACCCGTGCATGACAACAAGACCACTCAATGAATACCCGTCCATGACAACAAGACAACTTGAATATATACCCGCGAATGACAAGAAAACTTGAATAAATACCCGTGCATGACAACAAGACAACTTTAATAAATACCCGTGCATGACAACAAGACAACTTGAATAAATACCCGTGCATGACAAAAAGACAACTCTATGAATACCCATGCATGACAACAAGACGACTCAATGAATACCCGTGCGTGACAGTAAGACGACTTAATGAATACATGTGCATGACAACAAGACAACTCAATGAATACCCGTGCATGACAACAAGACGACTTGAATAAATACCCGTGCATGACAAAAAGACAACTTGAATAAATACCCGTGCATGACAACAAGACAATTTGAATAAATACCCGTGCATGGCAACAAGACAACTCTATGAATACCCGTGCATGACAACAAGACGACTCAATGAATACCCGTGCGTGACAGTAAGACGACTCAATGAATACATGTGCATGACAACAAGACGACTCAATGAATACCCGTGCATGACAACAAGACGACTCAATGAATACCCGTGCGTGACAACAAGACGACTCTCTGAATACCCGTGCATGACAACCAGACAATTTGAATAAATACCCGCGAATGACAACAAGACAATTTAAGTAAATACCCATGCGTGACAACAAGACGACTCCATGAATACCCGTGCGTGACAACACGACGACTTAATGAATGACCGTGCATGACAACAAGACAACTCAATGAATACCCGTGCATGACAAAAAGACAACTCAATGAATACCTGTGCATGACGACAAGACAACTCAATAAATAACCGTGCATGACAACAAGACAACTCAATGAATACCTGTGCATGACAACAAGACAACTCAATGAATACCTTTGCATGACGACAAGACAACTCTATGAATACCCGTGCATGACAACAAGACGACTCAATGAATACCCGTGCATGACGACAAGACAACTCAATGAATACCCGTGCATGACGTCAAGACAACTCAATGAATACCCGTGCATGACAACAAGACAACTCAATGAATACCTGTGCATGACGACAAGACAACTCTATGAATACCCGTGCATGACAACAAGACGACTCAATGAATACCCGAACATAATTACCAGAAGACTGAATGAATACCCGTGCATGACAACAAGACCACTCAATGAATACCCGTCCATGACAACAAGACAACTTGAATATATACCCGCGAATGACAAGAAAACTTGAATAAATACCCGTGCATGACAACAAGACAACTTTAATAAATACCCGTGAATGACAACAAGACAACTTGAATAAATACCCGTGCATGACAAAAAGACAACTCTATGAATACCCATGCATGACAACAAGACGACTCAATGAATACCCGTGCGTGACAGTAAGACGACTTAATGAATACATGTGCATGACAACAAGACGACTCAATGAATACCCGTGCATGACAACAAGACGACTTGAATAAATACCCGTGCATGACAAAAAGACAACTTGAATAAATACCCGTGCATGACAACAAGACAACTCTATGAATACCCGTGCATGACAACAAGACAACTTGAATAAATACCCGTGCATGACAACAAGACGACTCCATGAATACCCGTGCATGACAACAAGACAACTTGAAAAAAAACCCGTGCATGACAAAAAGACAACTCTATGAATACCCTTGCATGACAACAAGACGACTCAATGAATACCCGTGCGTGACAGTAAGACGACTCAATGAATACATGTGCATGACAACAAGACGACTCAATGAATACCCGTGCGTGACAACAAGACGACTCTCTGAATACCCGTGCATGACAACCAGACAATTTGAATAAATACCCGCGAATGACAACAAGACAATTTAAGTAAATACCCATGCGTGACAACAAGACGACTCCATGAATACCCGTGCGTGACAACACGACGACTTAATGAATACCCGTGCATGACAACAAGACAACTCAATGAATACCCGTGCATGACGACAAGACAACTCAATGAAAACCTGTGCATGACGACAAGACAACTCAATAAATAACCGTGCATGACAACAAGACAACTCAATGAATACCTGTGCATGACAACAAGACAACTCAATGAATACCTGTGCATGACGACAAGACAACTCTATGAATACCCGTGCATGACAACAAGACGACTCAATGAATACCCGTGCATGACGACAAGACAACTCAATGAATACCCGTGCATGACGACAAGACAACTCAATAAATAACCGTGCATGACAACAAGACAACTCAATGAATACCTGTGCATGACGACAAGACAACTCTATGAATACCCGTGCATGACAACAAGACGACTCAATGAATACCCGTGCGTGACAAAAAGACGACTCAATGAATACCCGTGAATGACAACCAGACAACTTGAATAAATACCCGCGAATGACAAGACAACTTGAATAAATACCCGCGAATGACAACCGGACAACCTGAATAAATACCCGTGCATGACAACCAGACAACTCAATGAATACCCGTGCATGACGACAAGACGACTCTATGAATACCCGTGGATGACAACAAGACGACTTGAATAAATACCCGTGAATGACAACCAGACCACTTGAATAAATACCCGTGCATAACAACAAGACGACTCTTTGTATACCCACGCATGACAACAAGACGACTCAATGAATACCCGTGCATGACAACAAGACGACTCAATGAATACCCGTGCATGACAACAAGACGACCCTATGAATATCCGTGAATGACAACAAGACAACTTGAATAAATACACGTGCATGACAAGACAACTTTATTAAAAACCCACGAATGACAACCAGACAACTTGAATAAATACCCGTGCATGACAACAAGACGACTCTTTGAAAACCCACGCATGACAACAAGACGACTCAATGAATACCCGTGCATGACAACAAGACGACTCAATGAATACCCGTGCATGACAACAAGACAACTCAATAAATAACCGTGCATGACAACAAGACAACTCAATGAATACCTGTGCATGACGACAAGACAACTCTATGAATACCCGTGCATGACAACAAGACGACTCAATGAATACCCGTGCGTGACAAAAAGACGACTCAATGAATACCCGTGCATGACAACCAGACAACTTGAATAAATACCCGCGAATGACAAGACAACTTGAATAAATACCCGCGAATGACAACCGGACAACCTGAATAAATACCCATGCATGACAACCAGACAACTCAATGAATACCCGTGCATGACGACAAGACGACTCTATGAATACCCGTGGATGACAACAAGACAACTTGAATAAATACCCGTGAATGACAACCAGACCACTTGAATAAATACCCGTGCATAACAACAAGACGACTCTTTGTATACCCACGCATGACAACAAGACGACTCAATGAATACCCGTGCATGACAACAATACGACCCTATGAATATCCGTGAATGACAACAAGACAACTTGAAAAAATACCCGTGCATGACAAGACAACTTTATTAAAAACCCACGAATGACAACCAGACAACTTGAATAAATACCCGTGCATGACAACAAGACGACTCTTTGAAAACCCACGCATGACAACAAGACGACTCAATGAATACCCGTGCATGACAACAAGACGACTCAATGAATACCCGTGCATGACGACAAGACGACTCTATGAATACCCGTGCATGACAACAAGACGACTTGAATAAATACCCGTGCATGACAACCAGACAACTTGAATAAATACCCGTGCATGACAACAAGACGACTCTTTGAAAACCCACGCATGACAACAAGACGACTCAATGAATACCCGTGCATGACAACAAGACGACTCAATGAATACCCGTGCATGACGACAAGACGACTCTATGAATACCCGTGCATGACAACAAGACGACTTGAATAAATACCCGTGCATGACAACCAGACAACTTGAATAAATACCCGTGCATGACAACAAGACGACTCTTTGTATACCCACGCATGACAACAAGACGACTCAATGAATACCCGTGCATGACAACAAGCCGACTGAATGAATACCCACGCATGACAACAAGACGACTCAATGAATACCCGTGCATAACGACAAGACAACTCAATAAATAACCGTGC